TAGAAGCTAATTAGGAGGGCAAACACTGAAGCTTGTTAGCTGAGATGCTAATGAGAATTATACTTGAGTGGCAGCAGACTAGCTATTCAGAGTTAATTAGAAACCTCAGCTGATAGTATATTGCTCTTAAGAGCTTTCAAAACAAACAACTAGAAAAACTGTCCTGCAGCTAAGGATCCAGCATGCCACGTTGGGTAATTCGTGGGCATGGGGAACAGCCAGAAAATTATACTCAGGCATGAGCGTAATTTAACAGCATGTGAAAAAGGTAGAGAGAAGGGGTTTAGGAGGCGCATGCCCTCCTGGATTTCCTGAGACAGTTCTGCTCACCGGTGGCAAACCTGCTGCCGCTGTACACGCTGCCATTTAGGCTGCCCAGCGCGAGCGGCCTCCAGTTGCGCAGGAGGGCGAGCCGGAGGGCCACCGCACGCCCCAAGCATCCACACCGGCCTTGTGCAGAAGCAGGACAAGGACCTGGGCTGGTTCAACAGCCCCTGACAGCCTTCCTAGCCCACCCACCAGCCTCTCCCACCCCAGCCCTCGGCTCTCAGCCGGGGCAAGCTGCTGGTGTCAAAGCAGCAGCTGTGTGCAAGTTGCTCTCACCATGCCTCTGCCTTCCCGGGGCACAGGAGGGTTTTGCTCTCTGCCCCCCCTTTGTGCAGGGAGGAGGCAAAGAGTAAATCGAGGCGCTTTGAGGGGAAAAATCTGTTAAACGTGACATCGCCGCAATGGGGATCGTGAAGTGTGGCCTTACCTGGGCTGAGTTGCATGGCTGATTCCTGCTCTGAGCAGAGCCAGGGAGGCAAAGCAGAGGGGCTGCGTGTTCAAATGTTTCCTCTGTGCCTGATTGGAAGCACAAGAGCCAGTCAGGGGCAGGGGAGAGGCTGCTAAACTCAAAGTAGGTTGCTTGTTTCAGGAAAAGATTGGATACTGGAGAACCTGCAGACTGGTTGGCAGCGCATTTGAACACACAAAAAAATGTGTCGCAGGGGAGAGAAATGCTCCTGAAGAACCAAGGGGATTTCCAGTTTCACCAAGGCCCTGTTTGCATTAAAACTTGCAGCGATTTAAGAAAAACCTGGGTTTAATACTATTTATTAAAACCAATTGCAAACCCATGTGGATACTCTTAAAACAGATTCAGCTTTCCAAAAGAAAGCCCAACGCAATGCAGGCTTCAGTTAAAGCACACAGGAGAGCACCCACAGACAAGTTTTACACCAGTGGAATTACATAGATTTCAAAGTTTAACTTTACCTAAACAAATGTGGCTTGTAATGTAGATGGGACCTAGCAGCCACTGGCTGATGGTGTGTGAGAGGACAGGGAACTCTGCATCCTAAAACCTCCCTGCAAGAGCCCTGGGAGTGAATATGCCCTTCACACAAGCCTTTCGCTATCTGCAGTGGAAAGCGTGTGAAAGTACAAAGACTTAAGAGTAGACACTAACACTGGCAATTATAATCCAGAAATCCATCCATTTCTTAAAGCAAAAAAAAAAAATTCCCAGTGCGTAAGCAATATTCTGAAGAGACAAATTTACTTCACTAAAGCTTTGGGAACCATCGTTTTCACCTGATGTTTTTGAAGCAAGAGCCCCGGATTGCGGTTATTCAGGTTTGACAGGACTGGGAAATGCTGACTTGAAGCTAGAGGCAAAATTCCCCAAACACCGAAGTGATGGAGCTCCGGGCTGGAGCAGGCAGCAGCTCACTGGAGAACGGTCCCAGCCTCATGGCTCAGCTCAGCAGATGGCAAGCCACTGGTGACCGGGACACGGCTGTGGGTTTGACACAGCCATTACACAGATCCAGACTCACCTGTGGCTGGTGCCTGCGATCCCCAAGCTGGCTGGAAGCACCGGCTGGGGGTCCCCGCGCTCAGTAGCTCACGCAGCCGCTCGGTGCTCAGCACAAAGCGTAATAAGCCGCTTGGCAACTCAAACCAGCCTAAATAAAAGAAACAGGAAAGATGTAAATGCAAGTAACTTGTATTAATGCTGCAGGGAAGATTCACTAGTGGGGAACGAAGGGTATAGAGATAGCAATGCCTCTCAGACAGCCCTAGCAAAGTGCTCTCAAGCTGGCGCAGGTTCTAGACGCAATCTACCCAGCGCAGCAGAGAGATGAAAGGCAGCTGCCTTCCTCTCCTTCTCAGGACTTACTCCCTCCACCCCCCCATCGCTTAGCACTTCTGGGAGATTTTCCCCTTATCAAGAACTTTCATTGAAGCAACCTCCCCAGAGCTGCAGCAGACTGGGACCAGGCTCTAGGTGTTTCCAAGGTTTGCATTGCTGACAACAAGCAGGTACAGCCATAGGCCCAGGTGGGCAGAGCTCGGATTTGGCCATAGACACATCGCTGTCTGTCCTCCCTCCATAACCATCCCAGTGCCTGGAGAGGAAGGCTGTGGGACCTTGGTATCAGACACAGCATCATCTGCAGTATATGGTATCTCCAGGGAGTGCTGGACAGTAATTCCAGTGCCTGAGTTGACAAGGAGAAGTATGTACCTGTACTTAAAAGCTCAGTTTAGCTAAGACTGAGCCTCTCTCGCAGTTAGTAGGCCATGTTGGTTTTGCTCTGCTTGAGCATATTGATGCTTAGCTTGCTTTGCACCGGCGACAGCGCCTGTACTGACAGCAGAGGACCACAGCAGTGCCTGCCCTTTCAGTGCTGCAACTGGGCAAACATACCCTGACCCCAAAGCCTTAGCAGCCTGGGCACGGTCAGGCCTAAAGCCAGGGTCAGAAGGCCCTCGCCCGTGCTGCTAAGGGCTGCATTCGTCCTTCCTGAGCACCACCAGAGCCTTTCCATCTACCACTGCGTGTTGGCTCATCATGGGAGCAGAAGGCTCACCCATTTCTGTGAAGCAAAAGGTGCCTCAAAATGCTCACTAAACTTTGCTTTCACCAGATTACCTTCAGCTGTTGGTTTCTCTACTTTCTCAAACTCCCCTGCAGTTTCTCAAGCTCTTTATCAGGACTAATACCTCATGCCCAACAGACACAGCTGGACAGCAGAGCTCTGCACTTGGCCAGGGCACCAGTTAACTTCGGCAAGCAATTCCCAACATAGCTCAGCATTCCAGTTTCCCTGTCCCTCCCGTCTCCCAGACAGGCATTTTGGTGAGGCATTGCGGTGAGCACCTTTAACACGGGGTATTCACAACTCACCGTATTGTATTTATTTGGGGGAAATTTTTTTTTTTTTTTAAATCAAAGACATAGGGTTAAAACTACCATTGGCTCATACCAATGCATATATAGGCATGAGCCACTGGTAGTATACATTTAGGGATGCCTATAGTGATAATCCAGTGGTAGTGAATCTTTTTATATATATATAAAATACAAAGTTACATACATTATCAGAAACTCTTCTGGCTAGAACTACAGATTGAAGCGCCGTGTTTGCCCTGCCATGCTTGGGCCAGCTCTGAGGACTTTGCTTCCCAGAGGAGGGAGTCTTCTGACCATGCCTATCAGCCTCTGGGCAAACTATAGCAAAACCAGCTTCTCGGAATACTTTTTGCTGCCGTGCTGAGCAATCTCCTTTCTCCTCAGACATCCCCAAACGCAGCAATCGTTTTGCTGCCATCAATTCAGGCGGGCAACATGCAGCCTTTTAACATCCTAGCAAGGATACGCCACGAACTGTAACTTCCCCCATCTGTTAAGTGCTTGGTTCCCATCTTCCCTCCGCAAGGATAAAGGTACAGCTCTAACCCTGAGTTTCATCTCTTTACCTTCCCCTGACTGCGATTCCCCCTCAGCATCGCTAGCCTCACGCTGCCTCGCACGCAGCGTCCACCGCCGCAAGAGCCCAATTTCCCTTTCAGGCTGATGATCTCCCGCTGCAGCGGCATCGGCTCCCCCTGCGAAGGCATCCTCGGCCCCGGCCCTCTTCTCCTGGCCCACGCTGCACACCTGCAGCAAAGCGACACAATCTGTGGCAGATTTTACCTCTTTTTCTCCCTAGGCTGCTGCTTAGCTTGCATTGCAGCTCCCTGGGGATCGGCGGTTTAGCTCTGCAGGACATACTACCCCAGGTCTCCATCTTGTAATGGTTTTAATTTTTTATCATGCTCAGCACACTGCCTGCTGTCTCTTCTCAAGTTTTCATACACACTGGGGAATTTCCTTTGCTTGGCAAATATTTGTGGGATTATCAAGGATTATTTCTGGGTTTTCTAATAATGGGGTTTTTAGTAATGCCTCTGAATTTACTTTTTTTTTTTCCTCTAATTCACAGTCTTGATCTCACAACTGAGAGAATGCCCCAAAACTGGAACACTGCACCTTTAATCTTAGATCACTCACCAGTCCTCTTTTTCTTCAGGGAAGAAAAGAAGGGGAAAAAAAAAGGTAGTATCGGGAGCAGAAGTCTCTTCTTTGTTGAAGCCTTTGGCCTCGGGTCAAGAAGGCTTTTCACAGGGAAAGCCCTGTGGTTCCCTGGAGAACTGGCATAAAACCTATTCTCTGCTGCTACCTTCACCTCTCTGCCCTCCAAAGGCAGTGCCTCTATCTCAGTTTTCCTGTGCTGCTTCCTTCCCTCCGCATTCATTTTTTGGTAACCAAATACAGCTATCTCGTCCCGTGGGAGATGACTTAAAGCAACTTTCAGCCTAAAGGAACTAGCGAATCCATGATGCTATTTTCTCTATTTGATGAATTATTTGGATTTGTTTTCTTTGGATAAGTATTCTTAAAACAATTTGTCCACAGTTTAATGTGGGTAGGTTTCTACTTTCACTTCCATTAAGGAGCCCTGTGTTTTCTGCGTGACCTGTAATCCCAGCACGCTTGATTTCCAGAACACCCTGTATGCCATTTATTCTGTCCTTACCATACCACAATTGCGCCATCATTCAATTTTCATTTGCCTTGGCTTGCAGCAAGTTTCTCTTCTCTCAGAGGGGGTTGAGGAGATCCCTGCAGCCCCACATGCTCATCACTGCATCCCTGTCCGCTGCTGTTTGCGGGAGCAGCGCTGCCTTCCCCGAGCACGCAGGGATGCTCTGCGCTCCACAGATCACTTTGGCTGCTTTGCACCAGTCATACCTGTGAAAAATCTCATTCTCCGAGTCACCGCTTGCATCTCACAGTGCTTTCCATCTCCCTGTGTTTCTCTTGTCTGCTGACTTTTCTCATTGCATTTTACCTCCTCCTCTTGGCATCTTTGCCATTTCCACAGATGTAGGTGCACTTCTCAAAGCGCTTTTCATTATGGCTCTGAGCTAGCTCATAAATTCTCTTTGCTTGCGTCCTTCCTTTCCAGAAGTTTTACATATGTCCTGCAGGCTGTGAGAGATGGACAGAAGCAGCTACATGTGATATTCTGGGCAGAAAGAAACGCAAACTGCATCGGTACGGTGCTGGGGCAGAGCCAACGCACCCTGCCTGCCCCACGCTGGGACTGCTTACCTGGGCTCGATCCTACAGGCAGGGCAGCACCTGCAGTGATCCCTGGGCTCACATCTGCCCAGGTTGTGCTTGCACAGACACCGTCAGCGAGGATCACAGTCGCTGCTGAGCCAACAACAAGCACAAATAGCCTCCAGCATTTTCACTCAAGTTTTTATTCCTGTTAATCACTACTGAGTTCATCTTTGGAGATTTGTGACCATCAGCCATCTTGCACAGCTTGGCCATATAACTGTTGTTTTTCCTAATTCTTGGTAACACTTGTCAATACTTTTCTGATCAAACCTCATCAGAGGATTTTTTCCTCCTTCCTTCATTTTTCAGAAATAGGATTTTACCTTAGCT